AAAGATTTTTTTAAAAAAGAAGAAAGAAAAGAAAATGTTGGAGAGGATGTGGGGAAACTGGAATCCTTACCCAGAGCTGGTGGGAATGCAAAATGGCATAGCTGTTGTGGAAAACAGTGTGGCGGTTTCTTAAAAAACTAAAAATAGAACTACCATATGACCCAGCAATTCTACTCCGAGGTACATACCCAAAATCTTTAAAGCAGAGACTGAAAAAAAGACATGTACATCAATGTTCACGGCAGCACTATTCACAATAGCCAAAAGGTAAAAACAACCTAAATACCCAGCAACAGATGAATGGATTAACAAAATGTGATGCATACATACAATGGAATACTACATAAGCAGCTTCAGCAGCTACTCTTTTTCTTGACAAGAAAGAAAGAGAGAAAAAGAGTAGCTGCTGAAGCTGCTTATGTACAACCAAACACCTCATGGGATTTGGTTCCTTGGTTTGGGTCAGAGTTTCATGGGACATGCCACTTTAGTTCTAAACATGCCTAGTAATGTGTTTAGTTTCATGCATAGCACCTGGGGTTTTAAAAGTCCACAAATGGCCATCAAAGGCACAACCATTGGTCTCTATTCACCTGGAGCAACAGAGGAAGGAGAGTCAGGAACAGGAGAAGATATGGAACGTGTGGCTAACTGCCTTCATGAATAGCTATCTTCTTTGCCATGAGACCAGAAGAACTGGATGGTGCCCAGCTACCTAATTACTGAACATTTTGATCAAAATTTCCATAAAAAGCACCCTGAACAAAAGGGGAAAAATGCAGGATAGAATTTCAAATGTTCATGGATTCTAGAATTTCTAGAGCCATGGAGGCTGAATGAGCCCCTGAAACTACTGCCCTGAAATCATCTTTAAAACTTTAACCCAAACTATCCCCTGAAGTCATCTTAAAACCAAACAACAGTTTAGCTTCACTAGTTAAAAAAAAAAAAAAAAAAAGGTCTACCCAGACCATTGTGATCGACAGGGTTTTTGTCCTTGGCTGATCTTTAGAAGCCAATGTCCAGGCCTTTCTTCCTAGTTCATCTTAGTCTGGAAGCTGCACTGAAACCCGGTCAGCATCACGGCAACACGCAAGCCTCCACCGACAGGTAAGTGGTGGCCGAGCATGAGGTGCACTGGCCGGGAAGGGAGCCAGGTCTCGCACATGGAAGGCGAGAACTCTGCTACTGAACCACCACTGACTGGCCCCCTATATACAACTCATGATCGTGATAAGGTGAATCTTCAGGAGCCAGTATATGAACTGATAAGGGGAAAGGGAAGTCTACAAAGCTCAGCAGATAGCCACAGATAACCTTCTGACAGTGCCTCAGTGTGGCGAGCAGGCCCTGCTTGTAGCAAGTCCCAGATCACACCCAGCAAATGGGAGCCAGGAGCCACGGTACTAGATGAAAGGCCCAACGACTCAGCGCCAAGAGGACAAATGACACTGGGCCAGCTCCACGTTTCCCGCACTGCGCAAGAGTCCAACGGCCACGCGAGGGAAGGTGCATTCAGAAACGGCCCCACGTAGGCTACGGGCTTCCGAATGCCAAAGAAAGAACATGTTTCCTGGCCAGAATAGCAAGGCAGAGATCAAAGTAGCAGGGCAGAATTTCGCAATGCTGGCAATGTCAGCAACAGGAGATCGTCCCGTTAGCAACAGAGCCACCTTGTTCCAGAACTGGACCAGCAGCTGCCTCCGCTGGCAACGCTGAGGGACAGTACAATGACACCAAGCCTCTAGAGAGTACTTTCTGGCAAAAACTGGGCGAAAGCACAGAGCATACACCAGGAAGGGGCGTCGGTTAAGGGGTGGGTGACCCTGTCCTTCCTCGCTCCTTCCCCTTCTTGATCATCTCCCAATTGTGACCATGGGGCTCTGATGCACACGTTCCTACCCACCTTCTGCCTCCCCCCCACCTTGACAAGGAAACACCCTGGGCAGTAACTGCTCTGATGACAATCAAGAAAGTTCTTGAGTCATGTGAAAGCTCTCCCAGTTCACTGTTAAAGTGGCTCTCCCTTGGCAGCCTTGCCCCTGCCTGTCCTGGAGCTGTCTGGAGTGGCCCACCTTTCCGTGGCACCCTGTGCAGATGTGGCTCGGGCTCGCTGGATCTCCTCCTCCAGTCGCGCCACATCTTCTGCCGACCTCCTCTGCTGAGGGATGAGCTGAAGCTCCTGAAGCAAGGCTTCCTTCTCTTTGAGGAGCTGGAGCCGATCCCTGTCGGCCTCAGCCATTCCTGGCCAGGACTCATTTTCAAGCTGGGCCAGCTGCTGCTGGATACTGGAGACTCTGGAAGAGAGATACAAGACAGTCAGTCAACTCAATAGATCACCGGAGCCCATTCTTAGCACCACCTCCAGGACTCCATAAACCTGCTTGTTAAGTAAATATTGAAATAACTGTCCTGAGAAAAGCCTATAGGATAACAACAAAAGATTTGGAGATGATGGATCCTAAAAATGGGGCATGAGTCCTTTACATAATCTCCCCGGTAGATGAGCAGCAGTGGAGAAAATAATCACATCTTATCCTGCTCGTTTTGAAGACTTGAAAGCATGGCAGTAGTCTTCCGCATGTCCACGACTCTGTGCCAGTTCACATCGGCAGCCTCCTCTGTGATATGGTTGTGAGCAGGACAAAGGTGTTCTCCCCTCATCACCCCACCATCATCAGGAGCTAACGACCATGATGGACTCTTGAGAGAGGCTGCTGGCTGCCTTCTCCATGGTGTCTCACTGGTAACACCCTTCTTGAGAATCCAGCAGGAGAGACATGCACCACTCACCTGGGCTTCTGAATGGTAGAGCTTGGAGGGCAGTGGCTGCACGCACCCTGGCTCTGGGTGCTGCTCCCTGCACCAGACCTTAACCATGTATGAAACCCAGAGCACCTTGCCCAGGCAACTCAGATGCCCACCCAAACCTGAGACCCACTGCTCTAGGCAAGAAGCTCTTTCTCCTCCAGCCCGGCCTGGCCTGGAGGTGCCCACTGGCCTCAGAGCGCTGGGGGTGTGCATTAGGCACCAATGTGATGGTCTCCACTGACATGGGACTGGCAAACACAGGGCAGGTGTGCTCAAGGCACATGTCACTAATCAAGGCTGCCGGCCTGCCCTCCAGACCCAGACGTCAGAATCCTTCTCAACACCATGTTCCACACACACACTGCTGACTGACTGGAGCTGGCACATCCATGAAAACCTGTTGGACACACAACTGGCACTAAGTCAAGCTCCACCTGAACTAGCAGTGAGCACCGGGATCACCAGCCTTGCTTAGGATGGGCCCCGACTCCCTTTGTGGGTACTGAGGCAATCAGGAAAACACACATTTAGGAAAAGAAAAGGGTAGACATGTTATAGTTGAAAAATCAGTTTGCATTTTACTCAAGTCCAATGCCCTAAGAAGGGAAAGAAACTTATTTCACACCAGGAGCTGTATTAGAGAAGTTCTTGTCTAAATGAAAGCTAATTTCCTGAAAATGTGTTGGAAAATGGTGCCAAATGGTATCACTAAATGTACTAATGGCAAAGGCAGCTGAACAGGGTTACAGGGCCAACTGGGCCGAGGTGTCCACCTATGTCTAACTGTTGTTGTTGTTATGTGCCATCGAGTCAAACCCGACTGATAGCGACCCCTCCTTGGGTTTCCGAGGCAGTATCACTACGGAAGCAGGATTGCCCAATGTCTAATTAGTGTAGTTAAATTTTATGGCAGCCATATAACTGAGGCTCAAGCAAATACACTTCAAGTCCACCCATAAGTAAATGAGTGCCAAGTCAGACGTTATACCCAATGAAATTTCTGGGACCTTCTACAATAGATAAGGACAAGTCAAAGATAAGGAATAAATATGAAAGTCAGAGAACCAAGGAGCAAAATTATTGTGTCCTCCTAAGACTGATGTTGTAAGAAGACCAAGACTCCATTTGAGTCAGCCAGCTCTAGGTCTGTCAGCTGCTGTTCTACACGGATTCCACTTGCTATGGGTGGCAGTGATCCAGTCCTAGATAATCACACCCTTTCCAGGAAAATCTCAAGCACCACCTACCATCAAAGCAGCTCTGGTCGTGCAGTGGTTAAAGCATTTGGCTGTGAACCAAAAGGTCAGGGATTCCAACCCATCAGCTGCTCTTTGGGAGAAAGTTGCGGCAGTCTGCTTCTGTAAGGATTTACAGCCTTGTAAACCCCATGGGCAGCTCTACTCTGTTCCCTAGTGTCACTGAGTCAGAAACGACTCGATGGCAGCGGGTTTTCCACTATCAGAAAAAGGAATGAGGGGATGTAAGGTGAGGTAAAATGAATTCCAGGAGGAAGGAGAGGTGAAGAGCAAATTGCAAAGGCCTATCTACTGCTGGCATAAAGGAAATAGTACAACGGCTAAAAGTGAACAGTGGACTGTAACTTTGCACAGCTTGTGGAGTAAGTGTAAAAGGACGTATGGTGAGGACAACCTCTCCAGCGAAAACAAAACTGGAGAGTTGTTTTGGCTGTGCTGAACACAAGGCAAACACTGCTGGGCTTGAGAACGGTGGGGGCTTTCTTGGTAATAAAATTTCACAATAATGCAAATGTTTACATGCTCCTTTTTCAGCTATGTATGAATCTAGAAGGAGAGTGGCACGAACCACAAAGCACATTTCTTTCTCTACATCCTCACCCTGACAAAGCACATCAAGGGGCTCCTGGACGAGGACATTCAGGGCCTGCCCTCAGCCAGGTCAGAGAGGTACACGTCTGTCTGTACTGGAAGCACAAAGACCTAGAACACAACCTTCGCTGCGTACATTTCCCGTGGGACCACAGTACCTGGGTGGTGCAAAGGACTAACATGCTTGGGTGCTAACCAAAAGGCACTCAGAGGTGCCTGAGAAGAAAGGCTGAGTGATCTACTTCAGAAAGCCAGCCTCTGCGAACCCTGGGGAGCACAGTTCTACTCGAATGCACATGGGGCACCAGGAGTCGGGCAACTTGACAGTAACTGGTTTTTGTGGGTTTTTTGTTCCCCCATAGGATGTAAGATGGCTTTGCTGTTAGAACAACACTCCTGGTCCAAATTGCTGCTGGCCTAGAAATATGCCATCTTTGGGGAGTAACTTTCGTGTGTTTGGTTTACTTAAAGAAAACACATTTTCCTCCTGCGGCTAAAGGCACATGTGCAGAACGTGACGTGCCTTTGTGCATACCCGCGGCTGACAGCTGATCTGCAAAATGGAACATCCCTTACGCCAGAGCCTTCCTCTCCATTCCGCATATTAAAGGGAAAAGAACTTCCACAAAAACGTTTCCTTGAAATTCCATTTCAGTGAAATTAAATACACGGAAGCAAAGCAAGGTCATGATTAAAGTTTGCCAAAAATACACAAAAAAATTCCAAGTTCATTTTGAAAGAGAATAGAGAGCAGTTTTAAATTGGCAAGTTTTATCTCCCTCACAAGTCAACTATATTCTTTATTGATTCTTGTATTTGATAGGTAATAGCTTTTATGGCCTCTATATAAACTTTCATAAATGCCTTTCAAAGCTTTCAACTACATGCCCCTGGGTCCTGGAGAGTGAAGAGAAGAAAGCAGATCTTCAACCAAGCATTCGGGTTTCATATTTATTATGTGATTTCCAAACTCTATTCCCTGAACAGGTCTAATGTTGACAGAAGTAAAATATGAATAATTTTTCCCCTGCTATTTTTGCCCAAACACCTTTTCTGTTACAACCCAGGCACCATTAAACCATGAATGGAAACTTGCATTAATGCTGCAGAAACCACTTGCACACCTCACGTGGCAATGTGAAATCTGACTTGCATTTTCCTAAAATAAACTGTACCTTTAATATTATGAACAGCATGATTTTATATATGAAGAGCTGTTGCTGTTATGGCTCAGACTTATGGCAACCTTATGTAGAAGAGTAATCTCCAGTTAGTTTGAGTTTCTCCTTAATATATGAAGTCTCTTACTTAACTGCCCATGTTCTTAAAATGCTGCTGCTTTCTGAAGGAGAGACCAGAACTCCAGGCAGCACACAATCCCACCTGATGGTAAGGAGGTGCAAGGGAGCTCCAGGCCACATTCCAGAACATGGCCTCAGCTCAGTGCCTCATGTCTTCGGATTTCAGTGACAGCTACATAGTTGATACTTCTTCCACTTTTTCTCCTTAGTTTGTCTTCTTCCCTCCCATTCTTTTTGAAATATCCATTTAAATGAAAAGGAAATCAAAGGCTCACTGTGAATTTTAGTTAACAGTGATATATCAGTTTTGTGTAGCATGTAACAAATGGATCACAGGTTTAATAAGAGTTATCAGTTGTGTACAGGGGAGGGGGCAAGTGGGGACTCTCTCAACCTTTGTGCAACTTCTCCATTAACCTAAAGCTGTTCTAAAAAAAAAGGTTGTTTTTTTGTTTTTTTGTTTTTTTTTACAGCAAAGGCTCAAGAAAAGCTCAGCTGAGGTCAAAGTCAGATGGAATGATGAAGTCCCAGATCTCACAGCTCTTGACTCCATGGTGGAATTAGAGAAATCTGCATTTAGAGTTGGCAGCGTTAGAAGGATCCAGTAACACACCAATACTCCCCCCGAATCCTCAGCTGTGCTGGCCTCACACTTCTCCCCTTTGAATACGCAGACCTTAATTTATTTATTTTCAATAGGAAGTGTTAAGACTATAGGCTTTTTAATCTTCACCTGAATGGGTCAGATGGGTCTGCAATGGTGTTATGGATTGAATTGTGTCCCTCAGAAAGATACGCCGGAGTCCTGACCCTGTAACTGTGAACGTGACCTTGTTTGGAAAATAGGATTGTTTGGAGATGTTATCGGTTAGGTTAACATGAAGTCATACTGCAGTATGGTGGGTCCTAATTCAATGTGAGTAGAGTCCTTAGAAAAAAGAAGAAGAGACACAGAGAGAAGCCAGCCATGTGAAGGTGAGGGCAGAGATCGGAACACCAAGGATCACCAGCAGCCACTAGGAGGCAGGAGGAGGCACAGAACAGACTCTTCCTCAGAGCCTCCGGAAGGAATCAACATGGCCGACACCCTGACCATTTGGACTGCCAGCCTGCAGAACTGTGAGACATCACAAACTCCTGTTCTTATCAGCCAGGCAGTGTGTGGTACCTTATTACAACAGTTGAGGGAGCAATTACAGACGGAGAGGCTACTTTTCTTTGCTTCTGTGATCTAAGACCCTATCATAGTTTCCTAGGGTCTCTGTAACAAAATATCACAAAGTGGATGGCTTCTAAGAACAGAAATTCATTGTGTCATAGTCCTGGAGGCCAGAAGTT